GCGAACGATGGTCGAGGGGTGTGGGGAGAGGGCTGGAGAGGCTGATCGCTTGCCAGCCTTGCCGCCACCACCTGGACCAAACTTTAATGCTTCGGTGAATTAAAAACAGATTCTGATTCAGCTGTGTCAGGGGAGGGGCCCGAGAGAATTCTGCCTTTGAAACAAGCTCCGAAGTTGATGCTGAAGCCGCTGGTCCTCTGGCTGCCCCGAGAAAGAACCTGGACAACCGCCCATTGGTGGCCTCTGAGGGGCTAGGCTCTAGTCACCGGTCCCCGAAATGGTCTGTGGCCTCCAAGGCCCTTCTACCTGCAGATGACTGGGGAACTCAACATGTGTAGTTACTCATGAGGTGATTGCGCCCTCTTAATGCTGGGCTCTGACCACCCAGCCCTAACTTGCTACTCTCTGATTGAGAAGATAGACCTGGAGCGCTTGCTGCTCTCTTTTGCTAGTTAGCGGCTCTGCTCAAGTCTGAACCAGTGTGTCAAGCCATCCACTCAAGTCTGAACCAGTGTGTCTTGGCCAGCCCTTGCCTTTCTTGAGCTGAGACTAAAACCCAAATTGAGCATCAACGTGTCGATTTTATTGTACGTGTATTGATAAGGCTGGGCCTGCGGAATTAAGGAGAATGACTGATTACTTTAAAAGCAGCACATTTTGGCGCCAAGAAATGATAAGCCTTCTGTTGAGTGATGTTTCAGCTAAAGCTCACAAGGATATCTGTGATGCTACTTACATCTCCCAGTTGCCCACTTCCCTTTCCCGCCCTCAAAGGCTCTAGTGTGGTCAAAAATGATTCCTGTCATGAGTGAGAGGAAGACCTGGCCTGAGTCTTTAACCTTGGCAAGTAAATACAAGAAATAAAAAAACTAATATAAATCCAGGAGTAGTTGGCTTTATTAGTGAATTCCACCAAACATTTAAAGAATTAGTAGCACCAATTCTCAAATTCTTCTAAGAAATAGAATGGAAAGAAAACCTCCTAACTCACTCTATGTGGCCTGATACCAAAGGCAGACAAATATCACTTATGATATGGTTGCCAACATTCTCAACAAAATAGTAGCAAACCGGATACAACAGCATATTAAATGGATTATATATCACATTCCTGTGGGGTTCATTCCATGGATGCAAAGCTGATTTAACAACAAAAACAAATCAATCGGTGTACGAAACCACATTAATAGAACAAAGTAAAACTTCCCTTCTTGCAGATAATATGATCTTATACAACAGGAGTCTCACAGACTCTAGAAGAAATCTACTAGATCAAATAAATTTAGCAAAGTTGCAGGGTGAAAATATAGCAATGTGGGGAAACCAGTTGTTTCTACATACCAGCAATGAACAAGCTGCAAAGGAAATTTAGGAAACAATTCCATTAACAAGAGCATTTTAAAGAATAAAAGATCTAGGAGTAAATTAACCATGGAGGGGAAAGATAAAAATTTTGTTGAAAGAAAATTAAAGACCTGAATGAACTGTAAAACATCCCAAGTTCCAAGGATTGGAAGGTTTCATGTAGAGATCAATACTATCCAAAGTGACAGGTTCTGTATACGTGTTCAACACAATGCCTATCAAAAATCTCATCTTTTGTATAAATAGGAAAATGGTTCTTCAAATTCCTATAGAATTGCGAAGGATCTTGAATGATCAAAACTGTACTGATGGGGAAAAGCAAAAAAAGAAGAGAACTCACACTTTACAATTTTAAAATGTTCTGTAAAGCAACTGTAATTAAAACCGTGTGATACTGATCTTCATATAGATGGATAGACCAGTGGAATAAAACAGAGAATTCAGAAGTGAATCAACAAATCTCTAGAATTTTTATTTTAGACAAGGATTCTAGTTTATTCAATGGTGAAAGAATAGTCTCCTCAGCACAGCTGAATCTCCATACCTCACACTATAAATTAAACTTCACTCAAAATGGGTATGTAAATATACAAACTAAACTAACAAAACTTTAGAATGAAACATAAAGATACATTTCAAGACCCTGTTTTTTACAGTGAATTCTTCAATATGATATCAAAATAATAATAAACAGAGGAGAAATAGGTAAATTAGCCTTTACCAAAATTTAAACTTCTGTCCATCAAAGAAAGTCAAGAGACAACTGACAGGAGAGGAGAAAAATTTGGTAACTCTATACCTGACAAGAGCTTAATATTCAGAATTTATAAAGAATTCCTACAGTCCAATAACAAAGTGGGGAAAAAATCCCAGTTTGTAAAAAATGGACAAAAGACTCGAATGGATATTTCTCCAAAGACATGCAATCTATATGTGGCAGTTACATAATCTACTGTCAACTCGAGGGTGGGGGTGGAGCCTAGCCTGTCAATCAGGTCATCACCAATGAGTGGGCATGGACTTCTGAGGATTCTGGGAACTCCTGTCTTCCTCCCTGGAGGTGGTTACACACACTTTCCCTGTGAGACATTCTTGTTGACAAGCCATACGGAGCTACAATGATGGAGCCAGAGGCCTGGAGCTGGAGGAACTCTGTGGAGACCAATGCCAGCTCTGGGATGCATCCACTGCCACTGGATCTACAAGACTTTCCACCCACTGGTCTGTGATCTTCCTGCATTCAACATCGTTGCATGTGTAATGTGAGTCTGAAGAGGAATTTATACACTGATTCTGGTCATATGGGCTAATATCGGACTTATAGACTTGATCTGGACTGGGCTGGGCTGTTTTCTTAATATACAATTACTCTTTTATATAAAGCTCTTTCTTATACACATATGAGCGTCTATGAATTTGTTTCTCTGGCCAACCTAGACTAACACATAATCCAAAGCACTTTAAAAGATAGTCAGTGTCTTAAGTCATTAAGGAAATTCAAAATCACAGTGAGAAGCCATTTCACCCCCTGTAGGATTTCTTTATTTAAAAAAAGAAACCTGAAAACAGCAAGTACAGGTGGGATGTGGGAAAAATGGACCTGTGCTCATTGCTAATGGAAATAAAAAATGGTGCAGCTGCAATGGAAAACATAAGAGTACTTGCTTAACAAGTTACACATAGAAACAACTCAAGAGATGAATGTCTAAACAAAATGTAATATATATATATATATACACACACACACACTGTATAGGTACATATATATATACATACATACATATATATTACAGATACATGGCTAAGCAAAATGTAGTTTTTACATGATACTACATAGATAAACTGAAAACATGATGTTGAACAAAAGACACAAAAGGACAAATATTATCTGACAGTAATTCTATTATCCCAAACAAGAACATTCAGAGACAAAATTTAATAGTGGTTACAGGGAATGGTACAAGATGGCAGTAGAGCTGTTCCTTAATGACTATTGAATAGATTCCCTTTAAGTAATGTAAAGGGTGTGGAAGTAGATAGTGGTAATGGCTGTACACTACGGTGAATTTATTCAATATCACTGTCATACACTTAAAATGGTTAGAAAGACAAGCTTTGTGTTAGATATATTTTATTATAATAAAACAGAGTTTTAATAAAGACTAACCCAACTGAAAATAGTGATTGGTGGTCAGCACTTCAATATAATGAAATACGTTATGAAATCTATCCTGGAAAAATTATATGGAAGACAGAGAGATCCAATGCATGTACACCCAATAGTGTATTGAAGCTAACTTGTACCAGCCTGTGGGAGTCATTATTATCTCTCCCTTTTTCCACTTTCAGTAACATCATATTGGTAACTTGAAAGCAGTGGTGGGGCTTTTACCACGTGAATCTATAAATACCACAAACAGAGCGTTTTGTTTCCCAAGAGCCAATTTTTACACATTTAGGAGACCACTCTTTACAGTCTTTCCCATGAAGTAAAGTATAAAAATGTAATCTAAGACATCGTTGCATTTAATTTTAGGAAATCAAGAGTCCTAGATCTGGAGTACAAAATAAAATAGGTGGGTATGGGAGGCAGGAGGAGAGAGGGAGTCACTACAAAACAATTAACCTAAAATCATGTTCTGGTGAAGTTAGAAAATCTAAAGACAAATAATCTTTGCTATATCCAGGCAGAAAAGGCACATTGCAATAAGAAAAAGAAAATTCGGCTGTATTTAGGCTTCTTCGCAGCATTTCACAGTGCCTGAGGGAATGTTCTGAGGGAAAGGACGAATGGCCCCAATACTTTTGTTTTGTCCGGTCAGGCTACTCTTTAAGTTTTTAAGGCAATGGCTAATTGTTCTCAAATGTACAAGAAGTCAAGATATCCAATAGATAGGAATCTTTTAAAAAATCAACTTCATCTACATGACATTCAACTAATGACAACAAAAAGTACAAAACAGAACACAAAAGAATCCGACTGCCGTCATGTGTATTCTGACTCATGCAGATCTTATGGGCCAATGTTATCAATAGTTTATTATGATCCACACAATTGAATGCCTTTTCATAGTCAATGAGACACAAGCAACTGTGTTTCTGGTATTCTCTGCTTTCAGACAATGTTCATCTGAAATTAGCAATGACATTCTTTATTTCGCATCCTCTTGTGAATAACTTGAATTAATCTCCAGGGAATTATACTGAATGAAAAATAGCCAATACTACAAGGTTACATGCTGTATGGTTTCATTTGTTTAAATGGCAAAATTTTAGAGCTGTAGAAGAGATTC